GTCACTCTTGATGGGAGGAGAGAGCCCCGTCTCTCTGCTGCACAGCGGCTGGTGGTTTCGAACTGCTGGCCTTGCTGTTTTGCAGTCTAAGGTGTAAGCACTATACCACCTGGCCCGGCCTTGCCCAGCCCCCTCATGAAGGGGGTCTTGCCCATGGTGGGCGGTCAGGGTGGTCTGTGGGGGCTCCTAGCACAGTGCTCAGCACGAGCTGGTGCTGGTGAGTGCCCACCTGGACACACACGGGGCAGGGGTGGGGGTGGGGTCTCCCTGAGGAGCGCCCCCTGCCCCCAGGACTCTCCTCATCCCAGGGTCAGCTCAGCAGCCCAGTCCAGACAGCTGGACCTCAGGGTGCAGGGTGGGGACCTGGCGTTACTGAGAATACCCAGGGGATGGTTGGGGGGTTGGGGTGCACACCCCTGCTACTGTGGGGAACCTGGTGGGACCCTGGGCACTGCAGGAGAAGGGGCTGGGATCAGGGCTCCTGGGTCCTCAAGAGTCATTAACCCCTCAGATGCCTCGCCACAGACCTCCACCTGGGGGGCGGGAGGGCGCTCCGAGGGCCAAGAGCATGAAGTCATGGAAACTCAGGCTGCGAGGGGGCCACACGTGCCCTGGGAACGGGATGAACTCTGCGCTCCGTTTATTTCCACCCGGTTGTCATGGCGACGGGGGGGGGGGGGGCAGGAGGGAGACCGGCTTTTCCCTTTCAAGGAGCTGGCCCAGCACAGGCCTCCCTGCGAAAGATGCCCGAGGCTGGGCACCGGCACCAGACCCAAACCAAACCCAGCCCTCCTCCCTCAGACCAGGAGTCCTGACCCCCAGCCCTCCTCCCTCAGACCAGGGGTCCTGAGCCCCAGCCCCTCCTCCTTCAGATCAGGAGTCCTGACCGCTACCCCTAGTGCACCACCACCATCTGATGGAAGATTACCCGCCTGACCCTGTGGCCCTGAGACCACCAGAGGTGGCGGCTGCGGCCTGAGCCACACAGGTACACAGCTAGGTGGGGGCTGGTGCTGGGGACCCTGCCTGACACAGAATGTAGCTGAGGTGCAGCTGTCACGGGCTCGCATGGGGACCAAGTGTCTCAGCCTGGGCCTGGCTTCTCAGTGCCGCTCCAGCTCAGTCCCTGCTGCCCTGGTCACCCCCACGGGGCTATTGCCAACCCCAGATCCCTGGGCAGGGTGGTGGAGGGCACCCCCTGCACCTGCCCCTATCCCCAGTTCTGCTGCAGATCCCTGGAGGCCAGTGGGCAGCCACCCTGTTGGACAGACACGACAACACACACACACACACACACAGCCTGAACCCAGAGCCTTGGATCGCTCAGAGAAGCCCAGAGCACAGGGGGCCCGGAACAGTCGAGTAGGAGCACTGTAGACTGAGGGCCACCAGGACAGGTTATGACCCGAGAAGGGGTCGCTGGGTCTGGGGGGAACACACCCCAACTGCACTAGGGTCTGGGGTCCACACAGAGAAGCACTCAGACAGGTGGGGCCAGCAGCTAAATGCCTGGCAACCTGCTTCCAAAGCCGCAGCCTGGGGACCCTGGGGGCCGCTCTGCGAGAGGGATGGCCTCTGCGAGAGGGATGGCGGAGCCCAGCATCTCTGCAGGGGTGGCCATCCTGCAGCCAACACCCCGGAGCACACACAACACCCACCATGTAGACACACAGAAATACCCAGAGTCCTCCCCACTCTGCAGGAGGCGGGAACGGACGCCAACCCTGCACTGTCCTCCTGGGAGCCTGCAGGCTGGGTCTCTTCCCGCACCCCTCCACCTCACCTGCCATGCCACCATTTCTCCCCAGGGTCCTCTTGGGTCCCATTTCCCGAGGGGATCTGGGATCAGAGGGGCAACCTCCCGGGCAGCAGACGGAGGGTGTGGGGTGGCCAGGTGGGTGGGGGAGATGACAGAGGAGGCCTGAGGGGCAGGGAGGCTGAGAGCACCCTGGGGAAGGGGCTGCAAGTTCTAGGGTGTCTTAAAGAGGTAGACCTGGGGAGTTGGCATGACTGCTTTCAAACTGCTGCTGCCCGGAACATGGAGGTCCGAAGCCACCCAGAGGTGCCTAAGAAAGGCCTGGAGATTGGCTTGAAGCGATTGAGGGGTGGGTGGGGGGTGGATTTCGAGGGGAGATCTACTTCGGTGGGTAGGGACCAGCCACAGAAATCCCTGGGTAGGACAGTCAGCAGGTGGGAGGGCGGAGCTGCCCAGATAAGGGTCTGAGGGGTGACTCATGGCCACAGAAGGACAGGGTGTATGGGCAGAGGTAGTGGACAGAGTTCATGACCGCGGGCCTCGCAGTAGGAAGGAAAAAGAAGTAAAAGTCCCCTGAGGGAAGGGGAGAAGTGGGAAGGAGGCAAGGAGGAGGAGGAGGAGGAGGATGAAGAGAAGCCACCTGCCTGGGGGGTGGGGGGAGAATGGCCGCCCAGGAGGGCTGCAGGCACAAGAGACCCTGCTGGGGGAAGGAGGCGGCTCAGGTGGCAGCAGAGGGCACCATCTAAGGAGAGTGGGAGCTTGCCGGGGCAGCTCTGGGCTCAGTGCCGGAGAGGAGTCCTGGGGTAGCTGCTGGTTAAGCCCTGCAAGGTGGGAGGGCAGGTCAAACCCACCAGCCAGCCGCTCCACTGGAGAAAGCCGAGGCTGTCGGCTCCCACGGGCAGTGTGGGAAACCCTAGAATCCCAGGGCCCTCGATGACAGTGGGTTGGGTTGTTGTTGTTTGTTTGGGTTCTTGTTGGGGGAAGTGGACAGACAGGGAGGAGATGAACCGCAGGCTTCGGAAAGGTTGTAGTTACTGGGTTCCCCAGTGAGCCGGGTGTCAGGACTTCCAGTGCCTGGGGTATAGCGAAGGCCAGGGTCAGTGGAAGGTCCAGCGGCTTGATTCCATAGGGGGAGGTGCCGGGAAGGGGGTTATTCGACCAAGGTGGCAAGACTAAGGGCCAGCGGAAGTATCTAGGAATTGGAAAAGGGGCGCTCCTGATTGGCAAAGGAGGGTCGGGGAGAGGTTGACCCAAGGTGGTTTCGCTCAGGGCCAGTGGTGGGCCTAA